AAGTCCCAGCACTCACACTGAGTGTCTCAAACTCCAGCTCCAGGGAGTCTAACAGCCTCTTCTGGCCACACAGAGACACACACATGCTTATAACTAAAAATAAATCTAAAGGAAAAAAAGGAAGAAAAACACTCTTAGCTAAGAGCAAATACACACATGAAAATAATGCAGTTTGGCACTTGGTTTTAAGTAAAATCTTTATCATTCCCTCCCTGAAAGAAAAATATCTCCACGTTCCCGGCAATAGTGCAGAACGTTAGTGTAAGTTAACTTATACATGTTCTTTTGGGTTAAAGCAGAACTCATGGATACTGCTTTCAAATAAACACACACGCACACATTTAGTTACCTAATTAATACATACTATCAATCTTTGGTACAAACAGAGATGATTCTCAGCATGAAATTCTCCCACTAAAAACAGGTAAGAGGAACAGGCAAGATGGCTTAGCAGGTAAAGGTGCTTGTTGTCAAGCCTGATATCCAATCTGTGGGACCCTGTGGTGGAAGGAGAGAACTAAATCCCACAAGTTGTCCTCTGACCTCCAACCATAAACATGCATGAGCACATATAACAAAATCTAGAAAGAAGAAGGAAGGGAGGGAGGGAGGAAGGGAGGGAGGGAGGGAGGGAGGAAGAAAGGAAGGAAAAAAGGAAGGGAGGGAGGAAGGAAAAGCTTACTCTCAGTAACATGGCAAGATGCCAGTATAACAGGTGGGAAGTCCAAAGACATTCAGAATAGCTAGTCCAGTAAATTCAAAACATTCAAAATTAAATTTGGGGGTTGAAAAATGTTTGTGACTCCAAAACTATATTCTTGTTTCATCATTTTGAGAAACTCAATTTCAAATTTTTGCACATCTTAACACTGACATATTGCTCACACACTGCCTTCTGAAATTCCAGCTCAGGGCTAGCAGGTGAGCTGTGCCATCCTCATGTTAGAAACGAGAAGAAAAGGCTTAAGGAACTCCCTTGTCCAGGACAAGCTCCAACACCTGCGGGCTAGCAGAGCCTACTGCACAGTACCCTGTCCAACGTGCAAGTGCAATGGAAACACTGCACCGGACAGGAGCCTTAAAAAAAAAAACTGTTCTTTTCAGAAATCCACTTGAGTGCTCTAGCCCATTACCAGACTCGTAATTATACTGCACATCCTACTCTATACTCCACAAGGTAGATCTAGAAGATAAAAGAATCTAGTCATTAGAAAGGCACAAAACTAGCTCTAGATGGTAATTTGGAAGTTCTCATAAGTTGTCACTCTAAAAATAAAAATAGAAGCTTAATTTTTGGAACTGAAGTTTAAGTGTTTTTAGGGGCTGGAGAGATGGCTCAGTCAATAAAACTCTTGCCAGAACTCCAGCACCCATATAAAAGACAGGTAAGTGGGTGGCCCACCTGTGATCAGAGCCCTCAGGAAGAAGAGAGAGGGATGCCTGAAGCCAGGAGAAACCAGGATGTTAGAGACAGGGATGCCTGAAGCAATGTAGCCAGGAAGACCAGCCAAATCAGACAGCTCTGGGCTCAAGTGAAAGGCCCTGCCTCAATACAGAAAGTGAAGAGTGACCTCCCTTACAGACACAAGCACATTTCTCAGAGTCTGCGCCTGACTCTACTCCGCCATTCTCCAGGGTGACACAGAAGCCCAAGTACAAACCCTTGCTGGACCATGACCCCACAACATGTTAACTACATAAGAATCACTGTCAGGCTGTCTGGAACTGGGTTAGTGAGTAGTGTCTGGGGCAGCTGCTCTCTAATGCTCCTCTGCTGATAAAATATGCAAATGTACAAACCTATTCTTAGAAAAGTTTTAATCCTGCGAGACAAAACTTCCAAAAAATTAGAAAAAGGGGCTGAATGAAATGTAGCTTGATGTCAGAGCCCCTGCCTAGCATGTACAGGGCCCTGGGTTCAAGCTCCAGCATGGAAAAGGAAAATATAAAATATGTATTTGTCTAATAATCTCATAATGATTATTGCCATCACTAAGCAGAAGGTAAATGCACACCAGAACTCCAATAAGCAACATCACAACCCTGGGGATGCTAGTAAAAGAGGAGGCAGCCACTGGTGAGGTGTGGAGAAATCACAACTCCTGTACAGTACTAATGGGAGTACAGCTTCTACAGACAACGACACAGGAAGGCCTCAGAACCTAAACATGTTAAGCCCACAATTCTATTTCTGGGTCTGTGCTCAAAAGAAAAGAAAGTAGGGTCTCTCAACAGATATCTACACACCCTTGCTTGCATTATTCATAACACTAAAATATTGCTCAGCCTTAAAAAGAGCAAAATACTAACACATGCTACAATGCAGATAAACCAGTCACAAAAGGACAATACTGCATGACTCAAATAGTAAACCTCATAGAGGCATAAAGGGGAACAGCAGTTGTTGAGGGCTAAGAGTTAAGGGAAACTGGGCACAGAAAACATGATGATGGTAAATAGATGGTTGCGAAAGATACACAACAATGGGAACATATTTCCAGCCACTGAATTGAACCTTAAAATGGTTAATGAGCTGGGCCTGATGGTGCAGACTTTCAATCCCAAGACTGGTTAATGGAATGCTTTATGACTATTTTAACTGCACATGCTCAAAGCGGGAGGCAGGGAGGGAGAATAAGATACATGTGCCCAGATTCTCCTCATACATGCCTCTTTATACCTTTCTATGAATGTTCAGTGAGTGTAAGTGACTACAAGAGCCTTAAGGAATGAATATAGTGACTTAGCTATTGAATTCCTTCTAAACCTAAAATGCTTATCTGGGCTTGCTGGAAATAAAGTTGTTCACCTCATACAGACAGCAACAGCTATCCTGTGTCTACTTCAGAAGAAATGAGTTATGAGTCTAGTATGTCTCACAATCTTTGTATTTATTCCATAGAATTTCTTTCATGTTTTTCCTATAACTTCATACAAACTATTCTCTTTTTACTAGAAAAATCGTTAAGTCATAAATCTTCTAGCTGGGCATGAAGAAACATACTTGGGGAGGTAGAAGTAAGCAATCTGAGTTTCAAGCCAGCTACCTAGTCAGACCCTGTCCTAAAAAAATAATAATTAAAAAAAAAATGTTTTCTCCCTCAAAACTTATTAAGAGCTCATCTTTACTACCTGGCAGATAGATCATCCTTTTCCCCTTCTTTTTTTTTTTTTTTTCAGTGCTACTAATCAAATCCAAAGTCCCAGAAATGCTAGGTAAGTACTCTACCACTAAACTAAGTACCTTTCTTAACCCCACCATGCTTCCAGAAATCAGCACTCATAGAGTTTCTACCAACTTTAAGTACAAACACTGGGATCTTAATTATGAATTGCCTCCTCTTAAGGAAAGAATGTTTCCAGCATAGTGGTACATACCTTTGATCACAGCACTAGGGAAACTGAGGCAGGTGGATCTCTGAGTTTGAGGCCAGCCTGTCTACAGAGTTAGTTCCTGGATAGTCAGGGCCACACAGCAAAACCCTGTCTCAATTTTAAAAAACAAAACAAAAAAACACAAAGAAAGGAAATGCTCCCACAGGGAAATCAGACACCTGAAATACCTACTTGAGGATCGCATCAGCTGTTCTTATAATACCTTCTGATTGCACACACTGCTACAGAAATAAGTATGCATTTTGTCCAGGTGTGATGGTACACATCTGTAATCCAAACACTCAAGAGAGAGGCAGGAAGATCATTGCAAGTTCAAGGCCAGCCTGGTCTACACTGTGAGTTTCAGGCCAGGCAGGGCTACATAGCAAAACTCTGACTCAAAAACCAGGAGAGAAAGGAAGAGAATGAAAGAGGAGAGATGAAAAGAGGAAAGGCGGGAAGGGGTAAGAGGGAGGGAGGGAATGTTCATGAATGAACTAGTGAATCAGCTCGTCTGGCTTCCTGAGCTACTGAAGTCCATTATATCATTCCTGTCCCCTTTGTCCTCATCCTTAAATACTTAGACAAAATTTCACCTTCAAAGATAGATTCTGGTGTGTCTCACTATATCAGCTATCAATCTAAAACATTTCAAATAACTTCTTTTCACAAACATAAAGCAAACAGATGAAAATCAACATGAACAGAATAACTACCTATAAAAACAAAACAAAGAAAGGCATACTTCAGAAAGAAAGAAAAAATAAAATCAGTGCTCACATCAAAACCTCACTCTTAGAAAGGATTGATAGTACACATCTCTGAACTCAGCAGTTGAGAAGTAGAGGCAGAAAGATAAGCAGCTCAACAGCACAGAGTTCAAGGCCAGCCTTGGCTACATAAAACCCTGTCTCCAAAAAAATGAAAATTTTGGCTCTTAAAATATTTGAAAAATTAAAATATCATGCAAATATGATCACTACATACTTGTATTTGTACTACATGAAAGTATAAATGCATGTTATCCATTAATAAGTTCTACTTTCTTGGTCTTTAAAATTCAGTATTTTCAAACTCCACTTTTAATGCAAGTTAGTAGTACTATTTATCCCTTTTACTGAGGTCTACTTTTCAACCAAGACGGTGCAATTAACAGACATCACTACGTAAATCAAGAATTTAAAAACACAGATCTGGCCAGTAAGACTGTTCAGCAGATCAAGGCGCTTGCTGTCAAAGAGGACTACCTGAGTTCACTCCCCGAAATCCACAAGGCTAAAGGAGAGAATCAACTCTCACAGACTGCCTTCTGACGACCACATGTGCAGAATGTACAAGGACACACACACACACACACACACACACACACACAAAATGTTGGGAGAGGAAAAAAAAAAAAACACAGACATTTCTGCCACTTAGTTCTCCATCAGAGTGAGAATTCACCTACAGGATGATAAGTCTCTTTGGAAGAGCCTTTAAGAACGCATGGACCTGGTCAAAGACCAGGAACTCTGGGCCTGAGACCTCTCAACCATTCATGCTACAACACATGAGGAAGTTAACAGATAGAAAATACTATGTAGTGAGGCGGGTATGAAGGTGTCACCTCTCGTGCGGCTTACCTTTCAGCAGTGGCAGAGGTGTGAGCTCAATGGGCTTGCCTTGAGACCTAAACTGTGAGGAGCTCTGCGACCTCTTCTGTCTGGCTTTTCTGACGGACTTCCGAGAAAATCCGTCTACTTTATCCACTGATGGAGGAGTAGTTGGTGCTGAGGACATATCCCTACTGAAGAGAAAGAGGGGATGTGAACACGGTCCCAGGGTCAAAGCATTTGGGTGAGTTATAAACATGCTAAAATTCCAATATGCAATATTTATGAAACTGGGAATATGTAACCCCCCCAAAAAAATCAATTAAAAGTCTTGTCACCAGGCAGTGGTGGTGTGTGTGTTTGATCACAGTACTCAGGAGGCAGAGGCAGAGGCAGGCAGATCTCTAAATTTGAGGCCAGCCTGACCTAGGGCTACACAGATAAACCCTGTCTGAAAAAAAAGAAAAAAAAAGAAAAGAAAAAAGAACAAAAAGCAAGAAAGAGAAAGAAAAGTCTTCTAAGGGGAAAATATAAAAGGTAACATGGCCACTATTAAACAAAACCTGAGCTCTAATGTATCACTGCTCTACTATAATCATTACAAAGACTGGACTTCAAGTCTCTGTATTGTCTGTCCATTTTAAGTGCACAGCTCTTCCCATCTTGGAATTCCTGAAGTGATTTTGGAGCTATTCTGAAGCTGGAAAACATCCACAGAAACATTTTCCCAACATATTTAATATTATGAATGGAATAAACCCTTTCTGTACTTCAAGAATCTACACAAATGAAGCCAGGTGTGGAGGCCAGTAACCCCAGCTCTCAAAGAGGTTAAGGCAGGAAAGGTTAAGGCCAGCCTAAACTACACACAGCAAGTTTGAGGCCACCCCGAGACACACATCGAGAGGAGATCCTGCCTCAAAAACAAAACACAAACTACATCAGTATCTTGACTGCAAAGTGAACCATAAAATTACTGACACTTTCTAAGCAGGTCTTTTGGGGCAATGTGCTGGGCTTGCTATCGTGAGCCACCACATTGCAAATGAGGACTGGCTAGATTACTTGAAAGGCATGGAACATACAAAAGGCACGATTAAAATTATTTCAAAGAAGTCTTTTTAAATGAAGCCATCTTAAGTTATTAAAAGTTTAATAAACAAAGCTATGATTAAAACCTAGCACCAAGTTGAACTGAAAATATAACTTCACAGCCTTCCAAGACAAAGCTGAGTTTTAGGTTCAAATATTGTGTTCCATCAAACTGATGGGACTGACTGAACAGAGTTCTGCATTTTTTTTAATCTTCTGAAATTATTTAGGAAGCATTAAGCTCAGTCACGGTCACCAAACTGAACATGTTAGCATTCTGGTGGAACTGAGGCTCCTGGCAAGATTAATGGCAGCCAGAACAGACGGAATGCATACAGTGAAGTGCTACAACTCAGTTACCCAACTGTCATGCCAACACCTAAGACAAGTGCCTTTTTAACTTCCACAAAAGTCTACCAAATCTGCAAGACTAAATCATCCGGATTACCTGGATTCAATAAAAATAATATAAACAAGGGAAGAGGAGTGCACAATATTGAGGTTTAGTTTGGAATTTTGAGGACTTCTTAGAAAGTTAATTTGTTGCTATTTTAACTCTAATTTGGCTTTAAATATGTGACAAATAAAAAAAAAACGGAATTGTAAATAATAAGTACTATTGGAAACCTCTGACATATAATAATCCCATCAGAAAGAAGTTCCACATCACACTGGCACATTGTAAATTTATAATGTGATGTCATACGTGAATTATTTAGATTTCATTCTAGCAACACAAGATTTCTGTAAACCTCCTTCCTCCATCACTCATTCTATTTTTCTTCTCTCATCTCTAACGATGATCTATAGGCAGCTTTCTTTTCTTAATCATCTGCCTCTTATGCGCACAGCTCTGAGTAAATGTCAAGGTTCTCAACTCTAAAGCATTGCAGAACTGACGCTAACAGCGGGGTCCCTGCAAAGCCCAAGGAAACAGGTTCCACCTGGGCCACTGCGCCCAAAGCTTTTAGCATTCTCCAAACAGCCGGCAACCGGGGCTTTTCCATCCACGGGGAAGGAAGGGATCAGGGAAGTGGCCTGTTCGTCTGTAGGTATGTTCGCATAAACCCCGAGCCCCAGAGAAGCTGCGCGGCCACGGAATCTTCCTCTCCGCTCCCCCGCCCCCGCCGGTGGGGAAGGGGTGGGGGAATGAGGGTAGCAAGAAAATGCCTCAGAAGCGGGAGGGCGAGGGGCCGGTGTGGCAGAGAAGAGGAGAGGTGGTGGCCTCGAAGCCCCTGCAGGTAGATCAGACAAGTGGGCCGGGCGCTTGCTCCAGCTCACCCCACCCCGCCGCACCCCTCGGCCGCCCGGGCCCGGCCTTCCCGAGCCCGCCGCTCCGCGGGCTCCCCGGGAGGCAAGCAGCCAGGACCGGGAGCCGAAGTTTACCTTGAAGCTCCTAGGGTAGAATCGGAAGATGATCTGTGGCTGGTCGGGGCGGGCTGCGATCTAGGGGGCCGCGGCTGGGGCGGGCGGCGGCGGCCCGGGACGCACGGGGGGAGGTCCGGGAAGCGGCGGAGAGCCCCGGGCTACGGCCGTCCGGGGCGACGTCCCTCCGGTTCCGCGGCGGCGGCGATGCTTCTTTAGGCCTCTCGGCTGGCCCCGAAAGCTCAGCGCTCCGGCAGCGGCAGCGACGGCCTCACGAGCCTCCCCCGCGGGCCCGTCCCATCAAATCGGCACCGACCCGGTTGCGGCTCGGCCGGCGGCTCTTCGTTCACATTCCCGGCGGGCGGCGCCTCTGCTCGTTGCACCGGACCCGGCGGCGGCGGCGGCGGCGGCGGCGACGCGGGGAGGGGGGAGGCGGGAGGAAGCCTGGCTTTGCAGCGGCAGCGAGCGCGGGAGTCGGGAGGAAGAGCTGGAGCCGCCGGAGCCGCCGCTGCCAGAGCCGCCGTTCGCTACCCGCGCAGGGTTCCCGTCAATGCCCCCTTTCTCTCTCCTATTGTCAATATCACCGGGCGGCTGAGTCCATGGCACACGCGCAACCGAACCTCCTGGCTGGCAGAGCCCGCCCCCGGCGCCCGCCCACTGGAGACTTCAAACGGGAAGCGAGGCTTCATTGGCCCCCGCGCGCCTTCACTCCCAGGCCAGCACGTTCGGCTGAGAGCTGATCGGGGATTGGCGGCACGGGGGCGGGGCGGGGAAACCGGAGGGTGTGAAGAGACGAGGCCCTCGATTGGGCGAGGCGCTGGGGACCCGGATGTAGCCGCGAGCCGGGGCGCCCCGGCCGCCGCTTCCGCCAGGGCGTCTGAAGCGGGGTTACTGCGGCGTTCTGCTAGGCCCGAGGGGGACGCGGCGGGCGCGTCCGAGGCCGGAGCTAACGCGCGGCGGTCCCCCGTGGGCGGCGGACGTCTCCCCCGGGGGTCCCCAGGGCCGCAGGGCCCCGGTGCGTCACGGTTCGGCCCCGCAGTGCCCCCCTCTGCACGGGACCCGCGCTCCCCTGCGCCCCGTGCAATCGCGGCCCCGGAAGCCGGCAGAAAACCCCCCAGTGGCCTCCGCTCGACCCTTGGGAGGCCTGGCCGCGGGTTGGGCTCTCACCTGGACACCCCCCCCCAAAAGTCAGCTCTGAACATCAGCCCCTTGATGCCCCTGCCAGTCCCGGCCGAGGTCAACTCTCCGGTAGCTCATGCAGATGGGAACGCTGTCACCGGACTCGCGTTCAGATCACCCGCATTCTCCCGTTTCTGGGCCCCAGCCCCCAGCTTGACAGATTTTGACTGACAGTTGGAGGCTGAGTTTACTGAAAAGACTTACCTCTATCTAGACCGAGTACTAAAATACGTATATGGCTTCACATCGTTGGTGAGCTCTAGACCAAATGGTAACGTTTCCAGAAAATATTTTTAGACCGTCAATCGGTTTGAATGCAGGCTGCATACATTAGTTGGGGAAAAAAAAAAAAAATCCTTAATACTAACTACACGGATCAAACTACCAGTTGCTCATAATCCATCAACCCGAGATAACCACTATCATTTTGAAGTACTTTTAATATTTTATATTATTTTATAAATGCATATATATGTACACACACACACACATATATATATATATATTCTGTTTCAAACTGGAATGCTTCATCCTATAGCCAAGTTTTCCCTCAGGATCATGTCCTGTGTTCCGCACAGTTAGGGAATATACATTTATAAAGCTCTATACCATACGCACAACTGATACCAGTGCATTCACGTTTATCGCTTGTGTCATTTGTTGCAAATTTCTATCCACTTGAGTAGAAAAATAATTCTGTGCTATGAAAGAGAATGTTACTTGCCTGAAGTGAAATGGGAAAGATGGTTTAAACGAAGGCAGGCTCCCCCTATTGACTCCAGGCGACTGGCTGCTGAGTGTCCATTTTTGCTCTAATAAAGTTCATTACCCTATGCTTCATAATTATATAGGATTCCAGTCTATTTCCTGCCTTCAAGAAACTTATATTTCCATACCTCAGTCTTTAGAAATGTTTAATATCCTTGCCAAGCAGGCCCTGGTTCCTCAATGTCTGATTGGTAAATGCAAAATTAAAACCAAGAAAGATTTTGAAGCCAACTCAATTTCCCTTGGCAACAGTTGAACCGTTAAAAAGTAGTGCACGCTTGAAATGCTCACAGCTGTTGCTTAGAACATTCCACATTTTGTAGAGTGAGGATTTTGCTTGCAAATTATGGATGTCTATAAAGACAATTCATTTCAAAGTCATTTCATTTTCTATGAAATAGCTGAGCAACTGAAATGAGCAGGTCTTTTTAATGAGAAAGCACCCTTGCCTGTGCTAGGTTTGTTCTCCAGACCAATAATTTCATAAAGAGATGACGTATACCTCAGGGGGGAGTGGGGTGTACTCCAAGGATAGTGCAAGGCAATCCACTTGTAATGCAGAAGAAAAAAAAAAAAAAACGAGGGCATCTATGCTTAAATTTAAGAAGCATTAAACTCAACATTCTATACACAGAAAGAATGGCCCTGCGCTCAGTCCATGGAATGGCCCATTGGCCTAAAGCAGCAGAGATGTCCTCAAGGAAAAGCAGGAAGTGTCTATCCCCAGCAGAATGGTCTCTTCTACCTGTTGTACCATCCTGCTTTTGCTGGATTTGATGACTGTATTATCTACGTTTCATTAAGCTAAACATAGGAAGCGGACGGATGACCTTCCAAGAGTCTCCCGAGTGAACCACAGAACAAGAAAACACTGGAAACTTCTATTATAAAATCCTTGACAGCCCTCCTTCGGAGTTAAAATGACAATGTAACAAGTCCAGCAATAGTTTGACTTAAATAGCGAACTTGTCAAAACTATTTGAAGCGCAGGTTCACACCCACCGTCCCCAGGAGGGAACTATATCCTAAATACAAGTGTTATGACTGAGTCGTAATGAGGCTATTGTAGGCCTCTTTTATGAACAAATATACACATATTGAGAACACGTGCTCCCAAAATGCGCCAATGGGAATGCATGAACAAAGAAATCCGGAGACTACTCTTCTAGATATAAAAGGAAGGGCACGGTAGCCATAGGAGGCCATTATCAAGTTGACCAGATGCAGTTCGATGTGAGCACACGAAAGTGTTCTCTATCCAGATCTCAAAGCTGGGCTCACCCCGAATCTGTTCGCAGCCTGACCGTGTGATTTGAAGACACCGGGCATCAAGTGGTAGCTGACAGGTGATCTAGCAGAAGGGCTGATGGTTATCCACTGGATGGCATCTTCAGAGGTAAGCTAGTCTAATGTGCTGGGGGTGGGAGGCTGGAGTACATCGAGCTGGTTATGCACTGAGGTAAAAAGGCCGGGAGAGCTGTGGCAACAGCTGCTTTCTCAGGACAACAGAGAGAGGTGTAATCCATGCACATAAGGAACGCTGCCATGTTTCTTTGCGCTGCGTGTGTGTATCCACCAGGAAAAACCCTCCGCAGTGGCATTTTCTTGAGTCATAGCTTTAGTGTTGCAGTTACATTCCCAGATGTACTTCAAAGGCTGTAGCTTTTTTTTTTTTTCTTCAGCTTTCTGCATAGCTAAGGTGGCTAATCGTGGCTTAAGATTTCTACGGTTACGTGATCTAGTTCTCTACTTAACAGCCTGCGCTGTAATCTAAACTGATACAAGTGACTATCTGAGGACCTTTGCTCTGTCTTATTGTGAGCTCCTGGGATGAATCCAGGAAGGGAAAGAAGCTTTGCTATCACTAACGGGGAAGAAGGGGAACAGAGGGGCTGGGGACATGATTTAGTCCTTAAAACGTCTGCCCTGAAAGTAAGACCTTAGTTCAGATCCTCAGCCCCCACATTAAAAACAAACAAACAACGCATCTGTGGTTCATTTGCACTTGTAACTCTAGCACAAAGAAGGGTCAACGTCTGGCTGGACTCTCCGAACTCACTGACCAGCTAATCTAGCTGACGAGCACAGGGTCCAGTGTGAGACCTTGCCTGGAAAGATAGGGGAAAGCAACCCGAATGACCGGATGTTCACACACACATACGCACACACACACACACACACACACACACACACACACACACACAAAAGCAAGCTTCAAATATACTTTATTTCACAGAAAATAAACTATAACATAATGGACCAAGCAATACTTTTGCTTGTGAAGTCTTCAGTTTGCACAATTAAACGATATCGAAGCTATACTTAATTATAAGCATAGTGAGAAGACAGAATCTGAGGTCAGAGGTCATCGAGCCTTGGTTTCCTCACAGACAAATGAGCAGACTCAGCGTTATCCTAGGGCTTAGCCTTCAGACTTAAATAAGGTCCGTGTTTGCTACAGTGCCTGGAATGTCAGCTGCTCAGTCATTAACTATCACCACAACTGTCCTTTTCCCTTTAAGATGTTTTATCCATCTAGAAACTTAAGTTTTTCCCTTACTGCCCTTCATAATTTCATTCTGGCATTCCTCCTGTGACAGGAGGAAAACAAGGAGCTGGGAAACTAGAGGCACGCACTTCACAGTAAATGATAGCACATGTGTGGGAGCATTCATTAGCAAGAGCAGGGTTTCATTTTACAATATCCATATATTTCCAAAAGTTGAAAAAAAAAAAAAAAGAATGTCTTCCATTCTTGGAGGTTCAAACTATTTTTGCTCTCAGCTCACCTGTTTCTCTTCCTCACTGTAACTTCTAGGACTGTACTAAGGGCCTGGGCGTGGTGGCAGACACCTGTAACTCCAGCACTTGGGAAGCTGACATGGGAGAATGGTGGGTACAGGCCAGCCGTGTTTCAGAATGACAGTCTGAATCCAGCCGGGGACATTGTGTGACTTTTTATGGGGGAGAAGTTAAAAAAAAAAAAAAATTTGTCCCAGTGGAGCACCAGAACAAGCCAGAGAAATAGAGAAATTTTCCGAGGGCAGGGAAGAGAGTCAATTCTCTTTAAGGGTGTGGCCCTGGTAGGTCAGCCACACTTCAGTGGTTGGCCCCACACCCCCGAGTACAGGAGCAATACACGTCAGATTTATTGTGTTATAACAAAAATTAACAAAAGAGGACATGAAAATGGGGTAAAAGGGTACAGGTACAGGGTGTGT